AGTTCAGGTCACAGCAAGTGACTAGGACTTTGCATTTTGGGTAAAGCTTGAAGTAGCATTAGACACATCCGGTCCCAAAAGCTTGCATTTTTAACAGCTTAAAGCAGAACTGAAGTTCCGATATAACAAACAGTGAACAGACCGGCTCATTGCAGAAGAAACATGCAATGTGTTGTTTAATAAAATGCACCTACCTGTCTGCTCACAGTGTTCTCTGGTTATGTAAACGGAGCTGCGCATGTGCAGCTCCGCTTACAGCATCAGCACAGTCCCTGTGTGCCGGAATGATGGCCTCCTGTACAGGAGGAAATGCCAAAGAGGCTACACCATAGGGCAGGGGTCTCCAAATTTTTCAAACAAAGGGCCAATTTACTGTCCTTCAGACTTTTGGGGGGCCAGATTGTGGCCAGTGGGGGTAGAAAATGTCCTGGGCCCAGCATTAGTGAAAATAAACATTGCCTAGGGGTTGGTGGTCAGAAACAGGATGAGTAGTGCTCCATCATTGGTATTAGTGTGAAGAATAATACCCCATTGTTGGTGTCAGGGCAGGAATTATGCCCCACTGTTGATGTCAGAGGAATAGTGTCCCAAGGGCCAGATAAAGGCTAGCAAAGGGCCACATTCGGCCCTCGGACCACAGTTTGGACACCACTGCCATAGGGGATCTGAGAGGGAAAGGTCCCTTGTATGTTAAAAAGTAGCATATTGCAATGCCTCTTGAATGTTCAATACAGTTTTCATCCTGAAGGTGTCAGTGTTGCTCATACATTAATTTCATACAGTTTATTTTTTATTCTCTCACCAATGGCTAACTGAATTCCATAGAATAGTGCTCACCATAGTTTAACCAATTCATGACTATGCTCAAAACAAACGTTAACACCCAAATCCAATTTTGTAACTTCGGCATGTGTTAGTATAACTGTACAGTTCATCACAGTTCCTTAGTGTTTCCAGGTGGATTACACCACGTTTTGGTGTCCTTTTATCATGCAGTGGTAAATGACTGCTGCTCAGTTCTCTCCGGCATTCTTGGAGAAGACCGTTCTCCACTGAATGCCTTTTTATGAAGCGGTGTAGATCAGTTCTCCAAATGAAGGGAAAAGCAATCTACAAACGCTTTGAACACTAGAAAACAGCTGCTTTTACTATAATCTTGTGAGATTACAGTAAGATCAGTCAAACACCGTTTACTAAGCAGTGGTAAATTATTGCTGCTTCGTTTGCGGTCCCTCCGATTCTCCACTTCTGGACTGGAGAATCTGGAGGGAGACCACAGATCACCAGTGAAGGGCTGACATCACTCCTTCATACACTGGCAGTCTGTGTGCTGAGATGATCAGCGGAGAACATCATCATCTCTGTTTCCTAAACCACTAATGATCTGAGATCAGTAACGATCCTCAGGATCGCCGCTGATCTCTGTTTCATAAAAGGACACCTTTTTGTTTTGTTTTTTTTTTCCAACACAGATTGGTCTAATTGGTGTTCAATGTTAAGGGATATCTCTGGATTTGGTTTTGTTATCAAATGAAAACTGGCCAAAACAGTAAGAAATACAATTCTTTAAACATGAGCTGTATATTTTTATGCCATTGCCACAACCCACCACCAAAAAAAACCTTTGAAAGAAGTTCTTCTCCTGACAACTGCAGTGATACCACATATGTGTGCGTTATTTGTTCTTAGTACAAAGGGCCAAGAAACAATAACACTTTTTTTTTCCCTACCTAAACACACTAGAAAAGTTGTTTTTTTTTTAACTAAAACACACTGACACTTATACTGACCCTTTGGCACTTTCACACTGATGTGTTGCGGTTTTCTCACACCGCAGATGCAGCGCAGTGATGTGTTTTCTGAATGCACACCAAGTCTTGCATGGAGTAATTTTGGTGCACTTTCAGAAAACGCACCAAAACTGCCTGATGCAATATAAATCTAAGCATAGGTGACCCATATGAAACCTGAGGGTACACTGCACTGCACCCATGGCGTAGGAAAACCACACCGCATCAGTGGGAAAGTGCCCTAACACTGACACTCGCTAAACTAGATCAAGCTCTGATCTAATTAAATGAGGAGTTCTCCTTTGGATCATGTTTCATGTTCCACCCGATCTTAGTGTGGAACACGTGACATGTTCCTGTTCCTGCAGCGGCTCTGTGATCTCCTGCGTTTGTGCGAAAGCAGTATGAGGTAAAGTCCCCCACCACCAGCTGTCACTTTTTGAAAGTGTGCTCCGCCCACACGACTGCGTCATTCATTCATAGAGTTCTGTGAATTAATCAACTACAAGTACCGATATCTTTTACTGATGTCGGCTTGTAGTTCTCAATGAACTACCATGGCACTGCTGAGCGCTCTGGTACTTCACCGATTCTTCCTGTCAGTGTGAAACTGCCTACATGGCACCAGTGCAATGCTTTTACAGGCTCCTAAAAAAAAAAAAAAAAAAAAAAAAAAAAAAAAAATAGTAAATGCACAGTTTTTACCTGCAAAAGATGTGTATTAAATATTAAAGTTGAACTTGCCTTTTAATCCTTTTCTTCTCCTCCTCCTCCCTCCCTCCTCCCCTCCCTCCTCCCTCCCTCCCTCCCTCTCTCCCTCTCTCCCTCTCTCCCTCTCTCCCTCCCTCCCTCCTCCTCCTCCCTCCCTCCCTCCCTCCCTCCTCCTCCGTCCCTCCCTCCTCCTCCCTCCCTCCCTCTCCCTCCCTCCCTCCTCCTCCCTCCCTCTCCCTCCTCCTCCCTCCTCTTCCTCCTCTTCCTCTTCCTCCTCCTTCATTACATCAATCCATTTTTTTTGTTTTTTTTTTTTTTGGGTTTTTTTTCAGACTTCTCTTCTAGCATGGAAGAAAACATAGAATGTATCATTTTTTTTTACTTTACAGAGGAGAAACACTGGTATGGGTCTAGTTGTGATCACTTTGATTGGCTAATCACAGTGATCACATGATCAGGAGCTGGTTCTCCCGGCTTCTGATTGTTAGACCACAATCTGGTGCTGTTGGTAACAGCTGTGTCTCGGTGCAGGGAGGGCGTGATCAAGCGTGTTTCTAGCACAAACACAGGAGCGCATATATGCAGTGCTCAGGAATAAAGCCCATTTCCTGAATTCTGCATATATGTTTTATAGGGTTATTCTTGTTTTTTTGTATTATGTAAAAATGTACACAAAACATGTCTTGTTTTCTTTTTCTTTCAGTACAAGAAGCTATTTACGTCTGAAAGTGGGAAGTTGGGTACTGCAGAGAGATTTGTAGCTGGGTCTTTGGCTGGAGCAACAGCACAGACCTCGATATATCCTATGGAGGTATTGGAATCTATCTTGTTATGATGAATTTAAATTCATGAAATGATCAACCTACCAGACACCTGTGGTTGTTCTAGTGGGATACTGCTCAGTTAACTTGCCTTTCCTATGGCTCTTAGGAATTTATGCAGTGAGATCTCTGTGTTTTGGGTTACTGGGCTGAGATACCATTTGGTGTTGCACTCCCCTTAGGAGACAGAATGAGCGTATTGATTCATCTGTGCTCTCCTTTTACAAATTGTTCCCTAAAATAAGCATACCAATACAGTGTGTTATAGAAGAACAAATGCATTGTATTAGAGTGACACTAAAGCTTTGTTTAAAAAAACAAACAAACATGTCTATACTTATCTGCTGTGTGTAATGGTTTTGCAGAGGGCAGCCCCAAGCCCCTTCTTTTCGGGTCCCGGCCCGGAGCTCCTGGCTCCTCCCCCTCAAGCAGTGCTCCCAGGGAAAGCTGCTGGCCCTAAAGGCACCACTGCGACTCAGCCCCTGCGACCCCCCCCCCCTCTCTCCTCAGTGGCTCAGTCGGGCTGCAGTGCAGTGTCTGATCATCTCCTGTAATATGTCTGCAGTCTCTAATCCTCTCATGTAGTATTTATGCAGTCTCTGACCATCTCCTGTAGTATGTCTGCAGTCTATGATTATCTCCTGTAGTATTTCTGCAGTCTCTGATCTTCTCTTGTAGTATGTGAGCAGTCTCTGGTCATCTTCTGTAGTATTTCCACAGTCTCTGATCCTCCCCTGTAATATGTCTGCAGTCTCTTATCTCCTGTAATGTATCTGATCATCTCTTGTAATATGTCTGCAGTCTCTAACCATCTCCTGTAGTATTTCTGCTGTCTCTGATACTCTCCTGTAATATGTCTGCAGTCTCTAACCATCTCCTGTAGTATTTCTGCAGTCTCTGATCTTCTCCTGTAATATGGCTGCAGTAAAACCTTGTGGTTGAGATGCTGCTTTACCTACTCTAACCTCTCCCCTATTCAGTTGCAGAGGCAGTGGCCAAGAGTGTACACACGCCATGGCTGTAGTGCTTTGCTTCACAGCTGTAGCAGGATTTGTACCCACTTTAACCACTTGCCTACCAGGCACTTATACCCCCTTATTTACCAGGCCAATTTTCAGCTTTCAGCGCTGCCGCACTTTGATTGACAATTGCGCGGTCATGCAACATTGTACCCATATGAAATTTTGATCATTTTTTTCTCACAAATAGAGCTTTCTTTTGGTGGTATTTAATCGCCACTGGGTGTTTTACTTTTTGCGCTATAAACAAAAAAATTGCAAAAAATTTGAAAAAAAAAAAAAAGTTTCTTTGTTTCTATTATAAAATTTTTCAAACAGGTAATTTTTCTCCTTCACTGATGTGCGTTGATGAGGCAGCACTGATGGGCACTGATAGGCGGCACTGATGGGCACTGATAGGCAGCACTAAAGGGCACTGATAGGCAGCACTAATGAGGTGGCACGGATAGGCGGCACTGATAGGCAGCACTAATGAGGTGTCACGGATAGGCGGCACTAATGTGCAGCACTGATAGGCGGCACTGATAGGTGACACTGATGATGGGTACTGATAGACGGCACTGACTGGCATCACTGCTGGGCACTGACCGGCGGCACTGACTGGCACAACCGCTGGGCACTGACTGGTGGCACTGACTGGCAGCACAGCTGGGCGGCACTGGTGGGTGGGCACTGGTGGGTGGGCACTGGTGGGCACTGGTGGGCACAGGTGGGGTGGCACTTCTGGGCACAGGTAAGTGGCACTTCTGGGCACAGGTGTGTGACACTGCACTGCTGGGCACAGGTGGGTGCACTGCTGGGCACAGGTGGGTGATCTGCTAGGCACAGGTGGGTGCTCTGCTGGGCACAGGTGGGCGGAGCTAGTGGGCGCACTGCTGGGCACAGATAGGCAGAACTTGTGGGTGGCACTGCTGGGCACCGATCATCAGGGCACTGATCATCAGTGCCCCGATGATCGGTGCCGATCCTCACTCTGACAACTGCCGGTTCTCGGCAGTACTTTCCTCACGATCTGACAGCGTGAGGAAAGTGCAGCCGAGAACCGGCAATTGAATTTCCCAGTGATCAGCGTGTCATTGGACACGGCTGATCACGTGGTAAAAGGTCGCTGTGATTGGCCTTTTACCACATAACGTGATCAGCTGTGTCCATAGGACACAGCGATCACGGAGATCACCGGGTGTGCGCCCCCTGGGGCGCGCAGGAGAGCGCGTTCTGGGAGGACGTCATATGACGTCCACCCAGAACTGGCCGGCCGCAGTGCAGCCGTCATTCGGCTATCTGCGGTCGGCAACTAGTTAAGCAAGCATAGCAGAAGTCGATCACAACCCATTCAAGTGAAAGGGGTTGCTTGTGCAGGATCAAAGAGGTTAAAGCAGGTGGTAAGGAGGCGATACAGCACCTCTGCACCACCTGTCAAATGCTCTCTGAAGAGAGAACCAAACACAGATTGTCCTTCAGAGAGTACTACATATGTGAACAAGACCTTATGGGGACACTGGGACTGGTGTGGTGAATAGGGGACACTGTGACTGGCTGCACTGGTCTGGGGACATTGTACTGCTGTGGCAGTGATCATGTACAGTGGATATCTTCTATAATGACATTGAATGTCATTTTTGCCAGCCATTGTCTCATATCACTGCCAAAGCAGTACACTTCACTTGCTCTGGTTACATTAAAAAAATACATACTGCCACCAGCCAGAGTAGTGCAGTGTCACTATGGTGACATTGTACTGCTGTAGCTGTTATTGATCAGAGCCAATGGCTGCTGCACTGGTATACAATGTCATCAGTGTAGCAGCCAATGTTTCTTATCAATACAGAGAGCAGTACAATGTCACTGTAATGACACTGTTCTGTTCAGGGGATGGTTGTATTTTTTTTTTTCTCACACAGATTCCTACAGTCTTGATCACTGTAGGAAGCATTCAGTTCCCTCTCACAGCTGATTCCTGTGAAAGGGAATGGATCAAAGACTGCATGCTTGCAATCTTTGTTTAGATGTGTGATTGATGTGATTTTTCACAGCAATCACATGATACAGGGCCAGTTTCAATGGTCCTGTACCTGAGCATATGTTCCACTGTGTCTTAGGGAAACTGCGATTACCGGGCTCGCCAGTGTGTGCTCTAGGAGCTGTGCCCGAGCTGCTGACGCATAGGATGTACGAGTACATCCACCCCCATCAGCACTGCTCCTTTCCACCATTTATGTACACCGGCTGGATGAAAGGCGGTTAAGAATCTGTAATGTTAATGAAACTGGTGCAAAAGGCTTGTCTAAATCTAGGTACTGCTAGTTTTAAAGAGAACAACTGTCAGAAAACTGTCATTGATGGGTTTTTTGTTTGTTTTAAGTGTGTGTTTGTTTGTTTTATGCTTTAGCCTGTCTGATATTAGGATGGAGCAATGCACTGCTAGATTATAGAGAAAACTGCCATGTATGTTTATTACTGCAGATCCACAGTTTTTTTAGCATGATCCAGAGAGAAAAACATGCTACAGAGTGGACTTACAATGCTGAACATTCAAGCTGGTTGAGCACTTTACATACAAAACTGCATCTAAAACATTTTCGAATATAGTACAACAATATCTGTATTTTGAAAATATTTTAGGTACAGATTTATATGTAATGTGCAGGCAATCTGCTGAGGCTAAGAAAAGTACCTTTTTAAAAGCACCAGTGAGTGAGGGCAGCATGGATTTGTTTATGGATGCCACTGCACAGCTTATCTGCTGGCAAGATAAATGGCATCATTAATGGTGTGTGAGATGCTGAGGATTAGCCGGGATAGTTGAGTGGGCACAGTGGGATATTCCATCTTTTATCCCTCCTAACATATGTCCCATTAACAATAATATATTGTGATGTTTGAGGCGGAAGGGGTGCTCATATCAGCACCAAATGCCAGATAGTCTAGAGATGCCACTGAGGACAAATAGAGAGGGTGAATGTACCTAGCAGGGAAGCCCCGTTTTCTAAAATCAACTTGGAATAAGTGAATGATTTCTGAATAAGATGTAAATCAGCAAAACATTGTATATGTGTATTATGTAGCTGAAGGTTGGTTGTTTTCCAGGTTATGAAGACTCGTTTAGCTGTGGGAAAGACCGGACAATATAATGGAATGTTTGACTGTGCTAAGAAGATTCTAAAAAAAGGAAGGTGTTCGGGCTTTTTATAAAGGATATATTCCCAATATCCTGGGAATCATTCCCTATGCAGGCATTGACCTTGCCATATATGAGGTATTCTTTAGTCTTTTTATATATTGCTGTATGATTGAAGCATTAAACCCAAAAGCAAACATTTATTATATTGCAAACTGCCAGTTCTTAGATGTGGTTGCTGCATCAGTTTCTGTTTTAGGCTTTCTTTCTTTTAGATTCACCTGGTGATCTAGCCAGGAGGTCTGTTTTTTCAGCAGAACAAGCTGTCCTATAGATGTAGCAGTTAGAGGGTTGAGACAAACCATTTCCATTGACAGGGGTGCTTACAATGGTCCTCTTTTGTTCGTTTATATAAAATCTTTATCCCAAAAGGAAAAAAAAAACTGTTTGCTGTAATTGCGTATATGGTGTTAGCTGGAGTTTGGCTTAAATTTGTTGGTGTATCTAAATCTGCTAGTACATCTAAGGCAGTGATGGCGAGCCCGTGGCACGCGTGCCACAGCCGGCACGCCGAGCCTTATCTGTGGGCACGCCAGGAGAATACCGTATTTTTCGCTCCATAAGACGCACTTTTTTTTCCCCCAAAAAAGGGGGGAAAATGTCAGTGCGTCTTATGGAGCGAATATAGAGCGGCCGGTCCGGTATTTCCACCGCCGCCGTGTCAGAATACCGGGCCGGCCGCTCAGCTCTGCAGTGGAACCGTACCTGTCCCTCTATCCAGCGGCGCGCTGTCTTCCCGGCTTCTGTAGTGTGCGTGACAGCCGGGTCCCAAGTGCACATGCGCAAGAAGCAGTGCTCTTTGTGAATGGTAAGGCGGTACCTGGGACACATGACAGATCCCAGAAGCCGCCGGACCAATCACAAAGCGCAGCGCTTCTCGTGCATGCGCACTGGGCATCCGGCTGTCCGACGAGCGCCCCACACTACAGAAGCCGGGAAGACAACGCGCGGCTGTATAGAGGAACAGGTAAGATAAAAAAAAAAAACTCTGCGGAAGTAAGAGCGGGTACCTGTCATATTCAGGTACCCGCTCCCCCTCCCTCCCCAAAGGTCAGCAGTCATCTGTACTGTCTGCAGTCTCTGGTCATCCCTGTACTGTCTGCAGTCTTTGGTCATCCCTGTGCTGTCCGCAGTCTCTGGTCATCCCTGTGCTGTCCGCAGTCTCTGGTCATCTCCTGTACTGTCCGCAGTCTCTGGTCATCTCCTGTACTGTCCGCAGTCTCTGGTCATCCCTGTACTGTCCGCAGTCTCTGGTCATCCCTGTACTGTCCGCAGTCTCTGGTCATCCCTGTACTGTCCGCAGTCTCTGGTCATCCCTGTACTGTCCGCAGTCTCTGGTCATCCCTGTACTGTCCGCAGTCTCTGGTCATCCCTGTACTGTGTCCGCAGTCTCTGGTCATCCCTGTACTGTGTCCGCAGTCTCTGGTCATCCCTGTACTGTGTCCGCAGTCTCTGGTCATCCCTGTACTGTGTCTGCAGTCTCTGGTCATCCCTGTACTGTGTCTGCAGTCTCTGGTCATCCCTGTACTGTGTCTGCAGTCTCTGGTCATCCCTGTACTGTGTCTGCAGTCTCTGGTCATCCCTGTACTGTGTCTGCAGTCTCTGGTCATCCCTGTACTGTGTCTGCAGTCTCTGGTCATCCCTGTACTCGGTCCGCAGTCTCTGGTCATCCCTGTACTGTTAATTAGTTTGCACTACTGTACGAGTTGTTTTTTCTAAACCAAAAGCT